ATTTTATTTCTCATTAATGTACACTCAGCACCCCATCTTGACAGAAAAACACACATACATATGCCCAAAATTTAGATTTTCTTTTTCCGTCATCTTATTTTTCAGTTAAAGAATCAAATATATTGGCCCGCAGTAAATAATCACTCAGTAAGTCAAAGGGGCTATTAGATGATATGATAATGTAACAGAAGTGAAAGGAATAACTAATACGGACATTCATACAGCTAAATGTATTATTGAAGCAAACATGAATATTAGTCTTGGCAGCTCAATTGATACTGTAATGTGGCATGTGGATTTTCCTTTATGTTCCTAAGCTAAAATGAACGTTAGCATTAAGAATAGAGTATGTACTGTATATCAGACTCGTCTATCAACTATTTAATGAACATAATATATTTTATTATATTTTAAATTCACGGAACAAGTTGGTAGCTGTTAGCGGAAGTTGTGTGTTTTGTTTGTTTGCAACATTTAGGTCGGGTGAATATAAAAAAGGATACATTATGAATGCATTAAAATGGTACTGAAACAGAGGTCGACATGTTACGTACCGTCATCCCAACTCTTGACGTGTCCCACCAACAGAAACTGCAACACAACGATAACGTTACACCGTTTCATTTCCTTGCTGTCTTTACTTTAGCAGACAGTCTCTCAACAACTCATTCAAGTAATTATTCAAGTGGTAACGTCTCACTCCGAGTTCAATTCACGTTAAATTACACTCAGTTACACTTAACGTTACTGCTGGTGAAAACACAACAACCCAAAGAAATAGATAATTTAACTTCCGTGTTGCGTCATCGGTTTTTGCTGTCGCAACCAATGAAGGACGTGCACGACTGCTAGGGAGCGGACTATGGGTACTTCTCAAGTCTCTTAAGTGTCGTTTCCTCGATCCTCGCTTGAACCGGAAGTTGTTTCTGCGCCGCCATATTGACGGCCGTCCCAAAGCTCTAATGTAGCTCGGAGGAGCGAGGATCGAGGATGGAGGAGGGACCTCGGAGGAGCCATGAGCGAGGAACCACGAGAACAGACTTTCAGGAAGTCTTTTAACGGCCGACACGCCCCCTCATTGTTCATCAGTTATGTGATTGGACGCTGTAGCCGATCGGACTGACTGACTGGAGTTTGATATCAGAGTGAAGACAGATGACAGAATAAACTCAAGCTTTATATTTGATTAGGTTTCTGATTCACCATCTGGTTTAAATCAATGTTCATTGTAGTCTGAACAACAAAACGACCACAAACAACTTTCTTCATTTATTAGAAAGATTTGTGTTTTCATGATCTGATATTTCCCTCAATAACTTTTGTTATGAATACAATTAAAGTCAGAGGGAGCTGGAGAGACGAAACACTTTTTACATCATTCCTGAGTGTTTGATGAGTTTTATCATTTAAGAGAAACAATAATCATATTCTGGGTTATTTAATAATGACGCCACATTCACAATTTCAAAACGTACAGACGCAAATAATTCATAAATAAGACGATCGCATTCCGCCGATAGAAATCGATCCTGCGCTTATAAACAGAACACAGGACACAGTTTGTTAATGTTATTTCCACATTGAATGTTATGCGGTAAAAGTAAAGTGTGCTTTACTGTGCTGAGTACACTAGCATTTGAGAAACTTTCCTCAGGGTACTAGACCTCACTGTCAGCTGCACATTCGGGCTATTTTACCGTTTTAGTTGCATTACAAACAAAATTTCATTGACCTACATTTCATTGGGTTGAAGGCAAAAATCTATACTGCTAGATAACACAAGGGGTTGGTGACAAAACAGTTTTTTTATGATTTGGGTTACGGTTAGGACTTTCTATGACCAGCATGACCCCTCTACTCTAACTTTTTTTCCTGAAATCACAATAACAAAGAGAACACAGTAGTAGTAGTAAAAATCAGGTATTTTATTTGCTCAATCATCCACTGTTCAGCCCATATTATTAAATTTCTGCTATAAGTTAGATATTTACATCATTCAAGGCCCTTCACAAAATTCACCATGATCTTCTTTAAAAAGGAATCTATTTACATTTTACAAAACATTGCATACATGTTCATCCATACACCAAACCCTCTTTCCCTTGCAAAAACCCCACACATTTTCTTCATTTGCTGTTTTCCCGAATATAAGTTGTGTATATCACTGGTGTCATTCCCCACCCAACAACCCAGTGTATTTTTTTCATTTTCACACAGGCAGTTATTCACAGACAACTGGTCAGATACTGAATTACTCATCAAGACTGTCAGTAAGGCAGGCAGTTCATAAGTCCTCAGTCAGGCAGATCACTGTTAAAGATGTGCTCTCCTTGAAATTATCAAGTTTCTCGAAAGCATCTCAGTGTCTGTGGAAGTTGATGAAACAAAATTCAAGCCAATGGAAATATCAATAGAAGTAAATGGCAACCAATCGAATTGAATAAAATAAAGAACACTTTCTTTTAGTCATGCTATTGTGCATTTGAAAGCATATTCTAGGTGGGAGGTGACACTGACCGGCTTATATCAAAAACACATTTTCTTCAAAAGGACAGTATCTGCTTGATATATCTGTAAACGTAAAGTATGGATGTATTTATTGGTGTGTGTGTGTGTATGTCCTCATACAGTCCCCATGTTTCCCTCCATGCTGCCAGTGGTTTTCTTTGTGCGAATTGTTAAGTCTTCAGACAGCGACTATGTTGTTCATCTCCCATTTCTGAGTGGTTTTACTGGTGTCACAGTCTGATATGAAGACTTTGTGGAGCAGGTCGGAGCGGTCCAGACATTTCCCTGTTGGGATCAGACAGAACATTACTATTAATGCTTGTTACAGGGTTTGAGAAGCCCCTCCTCTCATATGGATTGCTGGAAGTGACCCTTATCCAATGGAGGTTTGTGGTCCAATATAGATCTGTTTAGAGGTATGTTACGTGCTGTGTTGTTTTCTCTCTACCGCCCAGTGTCTATTCAGGTGCCACCCTTTTTCCTGCCTAGCAGTTGCAGCGTGTGAGCGATCGTGGCTGGGCTCAATCGCTGATTAGTGCCATGGTGGTTAAGAGGCTGGGAGATCCAGGCAGACAACCATGTGGGCCACGTATAAGCTGTGTGTGTTGGTGTGGGGATCTCCTCTGTTCAAGCCGTTTGGTTAAAGTGGTTTTAAAGTTGTTGCACCCTCATCTTGGTGTGAGCTACAGAGACATCTTAAAGTAGATTAAGGTATTTCTGTTGGAGGCTGGGCACTACACCTCCGCGACAACGCTGTGAGTCGGGATGGGTTTATCAGCTGTAACCAATGGATAAGCGCAGTGCAGAGCGGCAGCAATGAGCATGCCAGTGGGGCACAACAGAGACACTCACATGCATTAACATGCAATAGCATGCATGCACGTCTGGCCCGGCTATGTCAACAAAGCACAGAGAAGCTCGGATTACAACACACACAGCAGGAGAGCGACTTCCTTCTCTGCTCAGGTAGACATTACTCCTCTATATCTTTACATAGAAAATAGTTGTTTGCTCCTATATCAATGCTCTGAATTTGGATTTAACACCTGTTCTGTTTTCATACATTCTGTTTCCTGAGTGATCTTGTTTAGTGATTCAACTAGCACCAATACAATTATTCTTGTTACAAGGCTCCCTTAAAATTGGTTATTAGTAGTTTAATCCACATGACAGTATGTAGTGAGCAAGACATTTTACAGTTGAAAAATAACCTTGTCAAGTTCAAAACACACAGTATATACCAGCAAACTGTAAACAGTAAACAACAACACAAATATATTAAACTTGAGAAAAGAAAAACACTCCTAAACAAGATGACAATGAATCACTGAGTGAGAAATCTTTGGTCCGTGTTAAAAAAGTGCAGATATTTACCTGTTGTTACATGAGTGAACCGATGGAGATCCTGGAAAGAGAGAGAGTGGGTGAATTCTTCTTCATTCCAATACTTTCTACTTTCTAACTATTCTGTCTCAGATTCATCAGTGTGCTCTCATCCTTTCCTGTTTGCACACAATGGTGAGTAGAGCGAGGTCAAATACAAGCACTGAAGAGATGTTTTGATCAGTAGTCTGTGTTTGTCTGTGTCTCACCTTGAAGTACTTCCACTCATTGTGTTGATTCTGATCACAGTGTGTGATGATGACAGCTGAGTTATCATCTCCTCTCGTCAGGCACTGGTCATACTGCATCAACTGGTTGGCTTCATTGATACGGAACAACTACACACACATGCACGTACGCATACATACACAAAGTTTACACTGCAGTATTTAACATGTCACAGACTCAAGTATTATAATTTAAAACCGTGTCTGACTAAAACAACTACTACTACAGTACAATAATTAGTTTTGAGAGTTAAAACCAAGAAGGAAAATTGCCAAAAGCAAAAGCTGATTTCTAACGGAGCATGGCAACTTACGATATGGGCAGAATAATTAAAACTACTTCTTCACTGAGGGACGTGGAGTTCAATCGTCCTAAAGTAAGTAAATCAGACAGGGCTGCATATTGTTTGTTTATTCTCTGTCCGACACGCTCATCAAAGACCAAACCGAACCAGATCAAGACCGTCTCTTGAACAGAGCTACAATGTAACACAACACATGAAGTGTGTGTGTGTGTGTGTATGTGTTTTATTACCTGGTTGCCCCCCATCCTGTGGCATGGTCCTATTTCCACATTGCCCCCATTGGTGTGACCCATACTGTCAATACAGTAACTTGACTCAAAGCCTCGAATCTATGCAGACACAGACAGGATGCATATCCACAACCTTAAAACACAGGATACTTCACAAAATGGTTCAAACAAGCTGTCGAACAACCGCGAAAGAAACAGAAACACGTGTGTGTGTGTGTGTGTAAGCCTACCTCCCCCCATTCTACATTTTTAGGAGGCAGAGGGTAGTGCTGTGGAATGTCATATGCTATTTCCTCCATGAACCACTTGAAGCTCTTGCATCGATGTTCCTCCCTGACAAAAAAATTCAGCCAACAAAGAGCAAACCATTAATCCACAACCAGTGAGCTTACAGTTCACTCATGTCTTCATTTCATAACAAATTCTAAAAATAGAGGAATGAATTTTCATCTTATTTGAAATGTTGAGAATCTTTAGTATCTAAAGTTGAATTTATGCTGAAGACGTCTTTTTAAACTCATAAATAAAAGACTATAAAGAGTATCTGAATAAATATACACTATGACCAATTCCACAATTGACATGAACAGGAAAACTAAAACAACTAGAAATTCCTGTATGCGTGTACATTTCTCTTCTGAAACAGACGCATTTGGATAATTTGATTCTCTACAATACACTAACAGCACTTATATTGCAGACATAAAACAATTCCTGAAACTGCGCTTTTAGACAATTTTCCAAGTTCATTCCATTTCACAGATGAGTCTTGGCTGTACAACATCAATTTTGAGGTATGTCAGGTTTTCTGCAATAAATGTATATGAAAACAAAAAGATGCAAGCAACGTCAACAACACCTCATCTATCTGTGACACTCATGTTTTGAAAATGTAGCAAAAACATATAAACTTTGGTCATAGCGCTGACACTTGTGTGAACACTTAATTACAATGAATTAAAATAAAGTTTAAGTTGCTTTTTTAAAAACGTTTTCGGTCACAGAAACTCTAATTTGGACAGAGCATTTCCAGCAGCATGTGCTTCTCAGCTCAGGGACAGCAAACTTCCCAGGGAAAAGAAGCCACTGCATTGACTGCTTTGCACCCTTTTTGCACCACTTGGACATTGACTACGACAACTCCCACCCTTTGAAATTACTGTTTACTTTCTTACAGTGTGGTAGCTCGATAACTTTTGTCTGGAACAGCCTAGAAATCAGACAGTGTACAGGGGCTTTAAGGTGGGTAACTAGTGGTAAAATGAGAAATTCAGTGTTGGAAAAGTGAAAGCAAGTGAGACAAAAGAATACAAGTCTAATCATAATAATACAAAGTATGCATATCTTGTTGTATGTTTGTCATACCTGAAGCGTTTAAGGTCACTGATGTCTCCGTAGGCTAGAGTGAGAGTTTCAGGACGGCTGGCATAGAAGTAGTCCTTATAGTCATCCCACCATGTCTCCACCACACGAACATAGTTCTGTAGACACACACATGTATTATACTTAATATGACATAAAACATATTTTTGCATTCTGAGCTATAATATAATGCTGATTTTATCTGCTGTAATAACCGAATAAATCTAGGACGGACAATATACAAGCACAAAGGACAGACAAACATCATGTCCTGTGTTTTTTGATTCTAGGACGGACAATATACAAAATGTTACTGTACAATTGATTAGTGGGTCTAAAACCTCACACCTGGGTCCAGATGAATAAACAATGCATATGCACAAAAAACACAATTTACCACAAAAACTGGGATTTATAATGGAAGAATGTAACGGTAAATAGACTGTACTTGTATAGTTCTTTTCTAGTCTTCCAACCACTCAAAGCGCTTTAACACTACATGTCATCATTCACCCATTCATACACTGATGACAGGGGCTACCATGCAAGGTGTCACCTGCACATCAGGACTAACTAATCATTCATACACCGCCGGAACAGCCTGCGGGAAAGCAAAGTGTCTTGTCCTTCGACATGGACTAGCGGAGCCGGTGATCAAACCGGAAATCATCTGATTGAAAGATGACCCTGCTCTACCGCTGAGCTACAGTCGCCCCAATGTGCAGTGAGAATGCAATGCTATTGTACATTCAATACAATAGCTCTTCACATCATATTAAGCAAAATAAAAATCACTTTAACCTATTATTTATTGCTTTAAATTAATATTTTACCTGGTCACTCCACCATGACATTTATCAGTTGTGCCACCTGACAATATTAGTAATCACAGGAAATATGCAGAAAATTTGCATGTTTGTTTCAAATACAACAACATGTTTATAGTCAACAGACTCTTTTTAAGTAAAAGTAGTAAATATTTCATAGTAATCATGTATTGCACATAACTGGAATAGGTAAAATCACAGTCGCTTCCGCTTGGGGTGTTGCAACTTCTACCTCATTGTAGCAGTGTTTTGCACACACTCGATACATGACTTGTTGTCTGCTCCCTGTGTCATGCTGATTTTGCTTTACTTGACAGTGGCATCCTTAATAGTTAAAAATATTCGTTAATATCATGAAAATAGTTTGAAAGTGTATAATATCGTTAACTTAACACTGTTAAACTTTTGAATTTTTTTAAAATATAATTTTAGAGCTTTAAATATAATATCATAGAGTGACATTCTTTACAGTTGCACCACCTGATTTACTGGTTACACCACCTGACATTTGCAACTTATTTCAAATTAAACAGGCATCTACTAGGACACTAGCATTAGCTTTTGTTCTTGCTAACAACTTCATACATATACATTTTAAATAGAATAAACAAATTAATGATAAAATAAAAATTTTCTAGTTTTACATTGGTTGTACCACCCTGACATGGAAAGTGAAACACTCTACCTATAAGTTGAAAGTAGCTGTTTTTATCAATATTCAAAAGAGATCTAAAAACATTTTCACTCTGCTATAAAGGTCAGTTGAGGTCCTCTTGATGATGCAATATCCTGTTTACTGTTTTGCACTTTAATTTCATAATAAAAGTCCCATCTCTACAGTTGTGCCACACTGACATTTGAGAACATTCAAATTGCTGGACAAAAGTTTTTAAATTATCGCAACAACTTAAAACTATTGGTATTTGTAAAGATTTGGATTATTTGAATAGTTCAAACAATAAAAGCATGCCATAGTATTTTATTTTGAATTTATTATCATTTAAATACCTTTTTTAATAGTTTTCTTAGTCGTTCATCTGCTAGGACAGGTGCACCACCTGACATTTTCAGGGTTTGAGGTGCCAAAACATAAAATAATATATATTATTTGATTGTACTGAAAATGTATCAAAACTGGATAGGTGTTATAGAATGAAATGATATGTGTCATGAATTGATACAATTATTTTAAAAGGAAATAGTGGACTCGGACACAAAAATATGCATGTCATGTCATTGACCCATAAACGTCTTTACATTGGAGGTATCATGTTATTTCTCCCATTTATGATCTTTACAAGTTATCCCATAATGTGAGGCTGTGAAGTCTGTTTTGATACGAGCACTGTAAACTTAACAACCAATTACCTTTCTGACTTTTAATGACTGTTAGGTCGAAAGACAAGTGGAGCAGGTACAAGTGGAGAAGCAGGTAGAGGTAGTACGCAATATATGCAAAAGGTATAGTTAAGGGCATGTCTGCAGCCATTTTGTGATCAACTGTGGTAGTGGAAATGAGCGCCCGTTTCCACAATGAACATAATTTATAAAATAGAAACATGCTTACCCACAGCTTTGTAAGTCTGATAAAACTAATGCAAGTGCACATTTCTGTCTTTGAAGTTTACAGAGTTTTAGTCATGAATCTACACAGATCAAAGCATGAGTCACTCTACCTTCAGAGTGGGTGACGATCCAATATGTGCAGGTGGAGGGTTGCCTTGCCATCCCTGCAGTCTGTAGATATGTCCGATACGAGAGCAGGGTACAAAGAGCAGCTGGCCACCACACTGCCAGATCTACATAAGAGCAGAAATAATATATATATAAAAAGGTGAATATTGGTTGAAATGCTTATATGGGTATGTGGACGTTCAGCCTCAGTCTGTATAAAACTGGCCTATTCCATGTCTACCTTATATGATATTTCAAAATTCTCTCCTCCCCATATCTGCAGTCCTGGATCATACAGGCCCAGCTCAAAGAAGAAGTCTCTCTCTATAGCAAAGAGACCACCCGCCATTGCTGGAGACCTGCAGTTATAAAAACAGACAGACACATCCACATCCAGAAACAGACACGTGCTCAACCAGGTGCATCACTAGCCGTGTTTCCATTCAATTGTCAAGCGAATTTAAAGTGAACTTTTGAAATGTCGCAAAAAAGACAAAGAAATGCACATTTCCATCAAATGGTTTACAGCGAATAAATGAAGTAGGCGCTATAGGCTACAAAAGGTTGTAATCCACCAGTAAACAGAGTGGAAGAAGTAGAAGTTGTGAACCAGAAACAAAACAAGTCGGCTTGGCCCTTTGTACGATAGGAAAATGGAGAGAATTTGGGAATTTCTTTCAATTGGGCAAGTTTTAATTTTTCTTTTATGTCAACTAGTATTGACTATGTGTAATGCTGTCCAGAGACAAAGACAAATATTTACACATTATGGGAATATCTGTATCAGTCTTCAGTCTTAAGTGAGTTACATGTTCTCTATGTCAGAATTTATTAGACAAATGCATTTCTGTAATCTATTTAGTGTATCAACGTTTTTCCGACAAAGGCAAAGACCATCTTAAGAGAGCGTAAAAAATGTTTTTCCCGCAACTGAGGAAGTTTTGTAGAATTTTTGCTGTTTCCATAAAACTTTTGTACAATACTTCAAAATGCGCATAAAGATATGTGAATGGTAACACGGCTATTGTGTAGTTCAACATTAGTCTTCACACTCAATTCAATTCAATTAATTTTTGTATAGCCTCAATATAACTCAAGGTTACTGTGTCATTATATATTCTTTTAAGGTTGGTCTGAAAATCACACATAATTCAGTTATTTACTGTCTAAACTTTGGCATCTACATTGCCTTAAATCAAAGGTGCGTAATTCTATATTCAGCGCATGTCTATGATTGAGGGATTAACCTCCACATGGCTCTCAACAAAGAGATGCTGGCATGGCAAAGGTTGAACCGATGGCTATCAACAAACAGTGCTAACAGAGCCAACACTGTTTACCTGGGGAGGAAACAGACGGTGGGTGCTATGCTTCCGTGACTACAATGTTGACCAGGACTTTGACTTCCTTCTCTGCTCAGGGCGACATTACTTCACTTGTATTTACATAGCTAATACTTGTTTGGTGCTATATTATTGCTGTGAATATGAAATGTAGCACCTTTAAAGCACATTCAGTCATTTACAGTATTAATAACAACACAGAGAACAAAAGTTCAGACTGACAAGGAAACAAAGTCTTTACACAATAACATATTAGTGGAAGCAAAGTGGAGGAAAAAAGACTGAAAGGACACGATGAGTGAAAGTAATTGGGGGAAGGTGGGGGTGATGGTGCCCCAGTCCGAACCCGATTCACACCAGAAGTTCCCCTGTAGACCCGACAAAATGTCCCAACACAAACTCATCACTCCCTCTGCTTTCAGATTTAGACCCAATCCTTTCTCACTGAAGACCATGCCGTAGAGGTAGATTCACAGACTCCCAAAAACAGGAATTGATTTGGTAAGTTAGCCTCAATTACTGTAGTTACAGCAAAAACATCACAAAGTCAAATTTGGAGTAAAAGACGTATGAGAGTAAAACCCACTAAATGAAACAAACGGGGCCAAACATTGAAGCACAGGCAGTCAGTGGACAGAACAGTAGTAAGCTACTCCCCATCAGAGCAATTCGATAGTTTGGGTTTAGTTAGTTAGTTGTGATATGCAGTAAGGGTTAGACTCATTATATATTTGATATATGTAAAGTTCTCCAAATGTAAATATCTAAAGAGAGTTGGTATTAAATATCAGCTGATGGTACACATATACCCTGGTAAATGTAAGCAGTTCTACTGAGATGAGTTGGTTTTCTGTATTTTCATCCCTCTGGTTTAAGATTAGCATTTCTAAGTTAAGTTAGTTGAGGTAGTGATAGTCTTAATGTCAGACATATCATTAGCACTTGTCAAGGTTAGTTGGGATGTTTGTCTTCTGTGTTGATGACAGTGTCCAGATTAGTCAGTAAGGATTAGTTTTCTGTACCTATATGGCTCAGTCTGAGTTTTTCTGAGTTTTTTTTCTGCTTCTCCCAGAGGTACTCTCTTCCAGAGCATGCTCCAATCCCAGGCTCCTCTAGCGAAGCCGTCCTTGTCTCCTCCACCCTGGGGCTCGACGGTGAAACTCTGGCCGTGGATGGAGTCGATCATAGGCACGGTACACACCGTTCTGACAGAGTGGGGGTGGGGTCATGCATACAAGATACATGGGGGGAAGAGGTGTAGGGGTGGGGTACATGAAGGAAAATATGGACAGCAGTGCCAGTAAAAGACACAAAGACATTGGGTGGGGTGTCGGAGACCAAGACAAAGCGAGACACAGTGGAAAATAGAACAGGTGGGATGAAGAGATGGGAGATGGAGAAAACAAACAGAACAGGGATGAGTGTTAGCATGCTGGCTGCGGTGAATGTACCGGTAGGGCTGGGTGGTATGTTTTCTCTGGGCCTTCTCTCGCTGGCTAAGCGGTACTCTCTTCCAGAGCAGGCTCCAATCCCATGCTCCTCTAGCCAGGCCGTCCTCATCTCCACCTTGCTGGGGCTCCATACTGTACTCATTACCATCTATATAGTCTATCAGTGGTACTGTACATACTGTCCTACAAACACACACACAGACAGACACACACATAAACCTTTGTCTGTATTGGGCTGATTGCACCGTTGAAAATGTTGAAGATGTGAGTTTTACAGCTGAGATATGGAGCAAAGATCACATTAACTGAAAAGTCTACTGGATAAGAAACACATACTCCACCTTTAAATAGGCCTATGTCTTATTATAATTTTTAAAAAATGTAATTAAAATTACGTGTAATAATAGATTATGACGGAATTTTAACAACCCTGTAAAACGGACAACGAGAAAGTCTAACGCAACCACCGGCTTTGCCATGTGTCTTGTGTAATTACTAAAAAGATTAAACAGTTCTGTGGCTCACACACAGTGTAACATATTGTAGAAGCTAAGAAGCAGGAAATGCACGGCAAATTAAAGTGCACTTCATATCACAGAATCATTCCTGGAACGTGCAAGATGCATAAACAGTACATACAGCCTGCAGAGTTGGTGCAGATGCAGCACTCAATGATGCAGTATTGATAGATATTAATAAGCCGTGTCATATCTAGTGTGTGTCTTCACAGGGTGATGCTTATTTGCACCTGTGGCCGGACCCTTCTTATGAATAAATATACTGTATGCATGGTACAGACTTCTGCAGCAACAGTGCTTTAGTACACTGTTACAGCTGAAAGCAGAAGCAAATTTAATGCAGTGAAATATCTGGAACAATTGATGGACATGTACACATCTGTAAAATAAAAGCAACCCATAAATCTCTACCTCTATCTCTTGTAAGACAGAAAATAAACGCTATATAGTGATAATTATGTAGTTGAATGAGCTGCACACCGTGAGCTTTTAGTTTAGAATAAAGGTAAGAGCATGGATCTGGATATTCAAGCAGTGGTGGGCCGTCAGGGCCTGCAAGGCCTTCTCTGCTGGCCTAAACAGAATCACAAAGCTATATCTATTTTATAATTGTATAATTTTTCTTAAATACACTACATGTATTATAATTTATAAAATTATTTTTCCCATTATCTTATTTTCTCAATGCACAGCTACTGTCGTCCTCAGTTGCTCTGCTTCCAGTGCAGGTTGTTTTAAGTAGAGCTTTTATCCAATCAGATTTCACCTCTGTGTCTCTAGGTAAGAACAGAGGCCCGAGGCCTGCAGACTCACAGGTGCATCCAGTGCAGGTTAAAGTAAAAGGAGACGATATTGTTGATTGTCATAGTGTTCAACCAATCAGATCTTTAGTTTGACATGTTGGGCGTATTCTTTGATGTATCAGAGCCTGCGAGCCGGCCTATAATGACGTCAGCATTACATGCCGCTCAGTGTCCATGTGTAGCTTTGCCGCGAGGTGCAGAGTGTGCTGTGATTGGTCAGTGGGCGAGCACGTGACTATCGTGAAAGGAAACTTAACAGCAGAGGCTGATGGGTAGTGAATCACATCACGTGATGCAGCTCAGCCAATCAAATATAGGCATTCTGACTGAGTGAGATGCACCATGACACAGGGGGCTGAGACGAGGAAAGACATTGCAGAGCAGTAAATTCAACGTTCAAGTTGTGAAAGTAAAATCCTATGATAATCTCTTTGGGTTGCAGCTTGTCATTAAGGAATGATGGTGGATCCCACAGCCAGACCAGCTGAGAACATTATATTTTCCTGAATTTAGGCTTTTGCATTTTCAAAATGCTCTAGAATTATTCAAACGACTCGTACCGAACGGTTTAATACGAAGATGTAACGTTACATAGTTACAGCCTTAAAAATGAATAATAGCTGTGATGCCATAATGTGGTTATAAGGAGGTATTTCAGCTGCAAGACAGCAGTGAAGGCCCAGGTATAAAATGCACGGCCCGCCACTGTATTCAAGTACAGATATCAAAATAGGACATGAAGAAGGGTGTAGTGTGTAAAAGCTGCCATGTGCATGCCTGCATGCACCAGCAGTGGATTACTGAAAATCTGTATATAGAAATGGTAGCATAAAAATGTTTGAACAATGTTCCCTGTTTAGATCATAACATACTGCCGACCATAAAAACTACAAAATGTATAAGGAAAGATTAGTTAAAATGTAATAGATAGAATGCAATTGAGTGATAAATAATCTCTGATGGATGTCGGCCAATCTTTATAAAGTCAAAAGTCATTGACAGTCATTATCATGTGTGTGACGCTCAACAGGTGTGTGAGTGTGTTACCTGTCTTTTGAAATAGGGGCAACCAATGGACCATACCAGTTGATTCCAACCTCGCAATGAGCATCCAGGTAGATCAGCACCTAGAAAACAAACACACAAACACTTGGATGTCTGTGTTCCTTTGTTTGATGAGAATGTCATGGTGTCAGTCTGATCAAAACTACCAGCTGTTGATTAGTGTTTCACACCTGGTATAAGCTGAGGGCCCAACGTTAGAAACTGTATCTGGAATATTGTAATACAAACTCATTTTGAGGGTAGAGCCACTGATTACAAGTGAAATATTCACACACTAGTGACAGTAGTTGTGGTAGGAGCAGCAGAAGCATCATGATCAGATACCTGTCCTTTATTGGCCTTGTTGGCTCCGATACTCCTGGCCTGGATCAGTCCTTCTCTCTTCTCATTTCTGAAGAGTTTTACAAGGCCATTCCATTGTTTGATGTACTCCTCCAAGCGCTCCTTTAGATGGGCTACACACACACACACACACACACTACTATGTTACACCATTACAGTTTACTTTGTAAACCACCAATGGAGGTACTTGTTTGACACCTGGCAATAGTTGAATTTAATAAAGTGTGTCCAGAGCAGCTCTCATCTTTGAACAGGATCCACTTATCTCTGTTCTTCCCACCATCTTTGCCAGACTGTTACAAAGTTACGCCACATCACACACATTCATGACAGTTCGGTCTCCATCAATAAAGCAGCAACAAGCTCTACTTTGGACTGGTAAGATGAAGATGTTGGATTGTTTTTCTGTTAAAGCAGTGTGAGAAACTGGAGGTTTAGCGAGACTATAAATCTTGTGCTCCACTTGAATAGCAGCCCTGGATAGACTTGGTCCATATGGAATGGAAACAACATAGAATTAGAGTTAGAATTAACACCTAATGACCTTCCCTCCTGAGGCACAGAATAAAACATATGTTGCTTTTGCACCCTGCAACAATCACAATCCGTTAATAACTAGAAAAATATGACTTCACCTTGCTGACAGAGGTGAGTAGTCAGCTATTCAGTAAAACAAAGGTCATAAGGGAGCTCTCCTTAATCTCATTGCTTATTTTTGTGCATTGATGCTGAATTATTCAAGAGATAATAACAATGCAACTACGATTACATTTTCCCCCACTCATATACGTAGGTATAGTATGTGAGGAAAGCAAACCCACCTTTGTTGCTGAAGTCATCTATCATGACTATCTCAGCCAGGTATTTCCTGGGAGTCCTCTTGATGACACTGTGGACTGTTCTCATCAATGTAGACCAGCCTTCATTATGGAAGACTATCACCACACTGGAGGTCATCAGTCTGTCATCATAGTGCCAGTACTTACACCTGGAGAGGTGGGACAGAGTGCGAAGTGCGGGTCAGTTAAACTCATTCATTACAGGTCCCCATTAGGAATGTTGCTGCTTTCAACTTCATGTCACTCATAGGATGTGTGGGCATGTCCAAAATGACTGAAAATAGTCATCTAATGCAGTGTGACATGCGTTGGTGGAGAAGCCTATAGAGTGGAGTTTGTGGGTAGTGAGGTGTGTTCTATGTTGTATTCTGTTCCGTATCAGTTGAGTTTTAGAGCTGCATGTCATGCAGAAGGTATTAGGGGTGTAATGTAAAACTACTACTCTGTTTATGTCAGAACATATCTATATTTGAATGATACTGTAAATGGGTGGGCCTTATATTGGGAGTTGTTAGAAATTGTCTGATCTGCTTCATTTTTTGCATTAAAGGGATAGTTCGGGTGTTTTGAAGTGAGGTTTTATGAGGCTCCTATCTATTCTTAGTGTATTACCTACAGAGAAACAGACAAATTGAACCACATATAAATGTCATAAAAATCAATATCCAATATCAATATATACATATATATATATACTTATATATATATATACATATATATATATACATATATATATATACTTATATATATATATACATATATATATATACATATATATATATACATATATATATATATACATATATATATATATACATATATATATATATACATACATATATACATATATATATATACATACATATATATACATATACATATATACATATATATATATACATACATATATACATATACATATATATATATACATACATATATATATACATATATATATA